CAAGCTCGAACTAATAAGGACCCCCGTGACTTTTTGCCCCTCGACATCTAGTGGGGGAAAGGTCTCAGCTTCTAATTTTAGAGACAGCGGAAATCTCTAGTACAACAAAAATTTAATCCAAATGATTTGTTGATAATAAATTTCATAATGTAATGTGATAGAAATTTTATTCACTAAATTTTTATTTAATATGATGTGTGAATTAGTACATATATTTATTCCTTTAATTTCATGAATGTTGTTAAAAAAAAAAAAAAAAACTATTTTTGACGAATCATTGGCATAAGTTTGATATTTTTCCCAATTGAAATTCTAGCTGGTGCACAGTACAGTGGTGAGCTAAGTTTTGTATACATAGAAGGCAGAATACCTAAATCTATCCTCAAAGTATAGTGGCAGGGATAGATCCACCTTTGAACAAAAAATGAGAATAAATCCATCCACAAAATTTTTGATTTTGACAAATCATCCCAAATTTAACGTGTGATGTCATCTGACGTTGACAATCCATTAATAATAAACATATTAGTGACATAACAAATTAATGGATTGCTGACATTAGATGATGTCACATTTTAAATTTGAGGTAATTTGTCTAAATCGAAAATTTTGTGAGTAAATTTGTTCCTGTTTTTTATTTGGGGATGGATTCGTCTTTACCACTATACTTTGAGGGTGGATTTGGTTATTTTGCCTATATAGAATCAAAATCCCTTGATGTAGAAGTAGTAGTAGTGTGCACAAATTGCCGATCATGTTAGTTTTGTAGGGTTGGCCAGAGAGCTTCGCTAACCTTTCACAGCTAGAGGGAAAACAATAGTGACTAATTTTGCCTATGGAGGTAAATGATTATAGTGTGAATTATGTAAAGTTATCATGAAAGAGGCCTTCTTGTCCCTTAAGTTTGCCATGATGTGAAAGGGAAATCCTAATAATAAGTTCACACTAAAACCTAACATAACAATCATGTAAATGTAGTAAAGTGGATTTAGTGTTGTCCATGGTAGAGGAATATATTGCACATCTAGCCATGGGTTCCAAAACAAATAAGGTGTGATACCATGAAAGGAGCAACGAAAACCTCACAACAACTCTTTTTGAATGTATCTATATTATTAGAGGGTGGTCTTCGTTGTATTGCCCACCAGGTGCAATGACTACAAAAAAAATTGGTCATTTGCCAACGCTAAATGCACTAGAAAATAAATAAAAAGTGCTGAAAATACATTATTTTTCAATGCTTAACATTGAAAATTGTTGCAGTAAAAATACTGCTTGGAAAATAATTAATTTCCAGTGTCATGAGGTGCGTTGGAAAATAATTTATTGTATTTTACAATGTAATGCGTTGGAAAATACACATAAACGGTAATGCGATAACATTTAGTTATTTGTTGTTAACTTCTTTTTTCCAGCAAACTGCACTGAAAAATTGTATTAGTCGTAACCATTATAAGCTGGAAAACTTCTAGTGCTCTACGTTGGCAAAAAAAATAGACTTATTTTCCAATGCTGTCCATTGGAAAATGAGCTTGAGGATTGCATGATCAACTCATTTTCCAATGCAATATGTTGGAAATTCTAGTTCAAATAAAAAAAAATTAATTGACTCTTAGTTTTCAGCGAAATGCATTGGAAACAAAGAGTCAATTAACAAAAAAAAATAAATTTTTTTAAATGTGATAATGTTCAATTAAAATAAATTCTAATTGTAATATATATATATATATACACATCACATAAATATCTTAAAAATAATATCATTTGAATAATTAAAAGAACTTCACATGTAATAAATTAATTAACTTAACTTAAATTAATGAATATCATACATATAAACACAATAATATTTGAAAATTTTTACTCTATAAATTCAATCATATACAAACTTTTACATAATACATGTATTTTCTTAATTGTTTGCTAAATAAATTTAATTAAATACATACATATACTTCAATGCCATATAATTTATAAAATTACAAAAGATATATACAAAATTAAATTATAATAGTTCTAATTTCAACATTTAAAAAAAAAATAGTTGCTAGGAAGAATATAAATGAATTAGTGTAATATCCAAATGAATATTAGAAAACAATAATAAATGTAAATTAATAATACCTTTAATTGGAATGAAACATATAACTATGTACCTAAAACAAAAGAAGAATGAATGAGTATATTTCTTAAGTGAATATTAGTATAAATTAAAACTTTGAGGAGAGGAGAAAGAGGAAATGAAATGAAAATAAGTGAAAATTAATAAACAATTATAAATGTAAATTAACAATACTTTTAATTGGAATGAATGAACATATAATTATATACCTAAAAAAGAAAAAAAAAAAAAAGAATGAATTAGTACATTTTTTAAGTGAAAATTAGCAAATTGTAATGAATTTGAGAACAGGACGATGAGGAAATGGAATGAACATGAGAAGGAATCTAGAAGAGAAGGAAGAGGACATAGAGAAAGAACATGAAAAAGAAAGTAGAATAAAAGGAGAAGAAGGAAATGGAGAGAAATAGGAAGTAGAAGTGGTAAAAGAGAAAATAAAGGTGTAGATATAGAGGAAGTATATTTATATAGACATTGGATTATTTTCCAGCATGTTGCACTTGAAAACAATCTAAGTTTTCAAAATTAAAGCAAAAAGGCGACATTTTTAAATTTTTTAGTAGTTAGATGGCGGAGTGTAATTATTTTCTAGTGCAATGCATTGGAAAATAAGTTGAATTTTGAAAATGACAAAAGGGAAAGCGGCATTTCAAAATTTTTTGGTGTGGAATGGCACAATATTTATTTTCTAGTGCACTGTGTTGGAAAATTATCTAAATGGCGCAAAATGCTTATTTTCGAATGCATTGCACTGAAAAATATTTGAAGTTTGCTTAAACAGCATTTCAGAAGTGGGGATGGCAGATAAATGCACTGGAAAATATGATAATTTTTTCAGATCATTTCCAGCGCACATTGTTGGAAAATATAATAATGTAGTTACCCATTACGTTAAATTCTTATTTTCTAGCATGTTGCGCTGGAAAATATTTTGACCAATGTCAATTACATTTTTATAAATTAAATAATTAATATCTTTATTATTTTCTAATGGCAGCTGCTGAAAAATAAGAAGGCATGAAATTTTTTTTTGGCACGTCATTATTTTCCAACGCTAACCCCTAGAAAATAATTATTTCAGCTAAATATTGATGTAAATTTTGATATTTACTAGTGACCCTTTTTTTCCAACGCAGTGCACTCGAAAATAGTTCATTATTTGCTAGCACATTCCTGCATTGGAAAATAGCGGTTGGAAAATAAACAAAATTCTAGTAGTGAACACCACCATGCATGAGTGACCACCAATGAGCAGTTAGCCACACTTGATGGTTTTTTATTGTTGGAAGGATAGACATCCCCTCCAATTGTATGGGTTGTTGTCCTTGTCAAAGGTTGAGAATACAATTTGAACTTGTTGTCCAATGAGTGGGAACTATAGCATCATGATTAAGTTCATTGTCCACAAGAAAGGACTGATGCTGATTAGTGAGTTATTGTAATGTGTTTGGCTCTTTGTCCATTTCTAAGTGCCATTTTGTAGATGCAAAAGTATGAGTAGAGTCATGACATTCACGTATATTTATATGTATTGTCAAGATAAATATTGTAAGAGTTGATTGTAAAAGAGAATGTAGTGTTGATGTAAGACATATTTGTGCCATTCACAACAATGTGTGGGATGAATGTCATTTCTTGCTATATTGATTCCATTGTGGTTATCAATATAAGATAATATATAAAGTATTTGATGTAGAGATAAAGTAGCGGGCTTTTAATCTCAATCACAAGTTCCAAAATTAGTTTTACGGTACACACGGCTCAAATTTTGAATTAATACAAATCAAACCCTCAACAAAATGGCATCTACTACAGTTTTGATGTTGTGAAAATTGATGTTAGTGTAAGTCAATTTCTTAATGTTATGTTTTTTTTGCCAACAACCTAAGTGGCCTAATAGTAATCTTTCCTCCAAGTTGAGAAAAGAATCCTAGAAACTATACAATTGGGTTGGATAATGAAATAAGAGAAAATTCTCATTTATTTTGTAACACATAATCAATAAAAAAAAATTCGGTAATCGTTAGGTCTTACAAATCCTAATATTTTTTAAGTTTTTCTACCATTTGTATTAAAAGCATAAATTAAAGATATAATTATTATACTTTTTTAACATTTATTAATATTAAGAAATACAAAAAGTATAAAAACTATTATTTAATTTTACTATCAGTATTACATAAATTATTTTAATTAAATAATTATTTAAATAAAAATTAATTTTTATTTTTTAATATTAATTATTATAAAAAAAATACAATAATTACATTTATCTTTTAAGGGTATAAGTTAGAAAATGGTTTTTTCTTTTTTAATTTTGTTATTATTTTCTTGTTATTGAGAGTTTTAAACAAGAAACGGAAAGCATTTACTAGTATAATAACTGTATAAAAATAATTCATTATGAACAAGAAAATGCATTGAGGACAAGTGGGGAGAGGGTAATCCTTTTGTTTTCCGTTTTCCTTTGGAAAAGCAAAAGCCTTTCACAAAATAATACAAAAAAAAAAAAAAAAAAAAAAAAAAAAAAAAAAAAAAAGAAGCACTAAAA